TGACAGTAGTTCAAACTCAGTAAGTTTTTTAGCCAATATTTCTGCCGCGTACTGAATGTTTCTTGATAATTCATCATCTTAGTACTTATACAGGTGCAGCCTGGTTATTTCAATCTGATCATGCAGTTTAGCTCCAATATTAGTTTTATCCTGTCATTTGCAGTTTCTTTTTTTCATTTTTTAAAATGGCTTTGCTTTCTGTCAGAAACTTAGAGTATCGTTGGAAGATATGTAGAATACATTGTGGAATAGCTTATTCTTAACACTTTCTATCTCAACAAAAATTGAATACATTGCAACAACAGTAGGTTGTTCCTCATCTTCTGTATTTACTATTCATTATGCTTTTCCCCTTTCTATTCTCAAAGGCTAAGCAGCATCTTGCCCTTCTATGCTTGGGGGAGATTGGTAGAAGAAAGGATCTAAGTACACATGCACATATAGAAAACATTGTTATTGAATCTTTCCAATCCCCTTTTGAAGAGATAAAATCGGCTGCCTCATACGCTCTTGGCAACATTGCTGTTGGTAATCTTCCCAAGTACTTGCCATTTATCTTGGACCAGATTGATAATCAGCAAAAAAAACAATATCTCTTGCTTCATTCTTTGAAAGAGGTGTGTTGCCTTAACTTACCCTATCTGTTGCTTGTGAATTATTTCTCATATATAATATATATGCAATACTCTTGCCCCTGGCTGGCAGGTAATTGTGAGACAATCTGTAGATAAAGCAGAGTTTCAAGAGTCTAGTGTTGAGAAAATACTTAATTTACTCTTCAACCACTGTGAAAGTGAGGAAGAGGGAGTGCGCAATGTTGTGGCTGAGTGTTTGGGCAAAATTGCTCTTATTGAACCTGTAAAACTTGTTCCTGCACTCAAGGTATCTGAGTTTTCTTTTGGTACCCTGTGAACATGACCTGCATGATTTGTATTTGATGACTGTGTTTGTATGTTCTGAAACCTCTATATAGGTAAGAACAACCAGCCCAGCTGCATTTACTCGAGCTACTGTTGTCATTGCTGTGAAGTACTCTATAGTTGAACGTCCAGAGAAGATAGATGAGATCATATATCCTGAAATATCATCATTTCTGATGCTTATCAAGGATAATGATAGGGTGAGATTTTAATTGCCTTACTGAATGTTGATAAAGAAATATAACTTGCTGTGTTCTTTTTGTTGGTTGTGTATTTGTGGCTTATAAATTGATGGTTATTTAATTAACCATTGTTATTGCTGATTGCTATCATGCAGCATGTCAGGCGAGCTGCTGTCTTGGCTCTAAGCACATTTGCACACAATAAACCAAACCTCATCAAGGGGCTTCTTCCCGATCTATTACCTCTTCTTTATGATCAAACAATTGTTAAGGTAACCTGAATTGTGACATTCTGTCCTGTGGAATTCTGTTGAGTATATAACATTTCAGTAAAAACTTGACTTTATATTCCCTATATGATTCTAAGAACATTTTAATGTAAGTTTAATATATTTTGTAATGGCTTTTGATTCTACTGGAAAGATGCCTTTAACAAAATAGAAGATCATGTATTGTTGGAGGCAGTCTGACTTTTAAAATGAATTTCTTACAGCAAGAGCTGATAAGGACTGTTGATCTCGGTCCTTTCAAGCATATTGTGGATGATGGGCTTGAATTGAGGAAGGCAGCTTTTGAATGTGTAGACACATTGCTGGATAGTTGTCTTGATCAAGTGAACCCCTCCTCATTCATTGTTCCTTATCTTAAATCTGGTTTGGATGGTGAGTATTTGTTATCTTTTCCCCATCCCTACTAAATACATTTTTGGTTCTGATTTACTTATATAAAAGGGGACATGATGCACAATCCTCTCACCTAGTGGGGTTTAGGGAGGATAAGATGTATGCAGCCTTCTGTCTGCAACTGGTAGATTGCTTCTATGATTTGAACACGTAACCATCTTGGTCATGTGGCAACAACTTACTCTTGTGCCAAGGCTTGCTCACTTTTCATTCACTTGTCTAATAGTTCAAATTTCATGTACTTTTATCACTTATTATTGAAACTCGTCGTCATATTTGCTTTAGATGAACTCTACCCTTCATTCATTTTCCCAAGCATTTTAGCACAAGAAGTCAAGTTTGTACTAGATGATGATTTATGTACTAATATATTGGAAAACTAGTTTTGACACATGCAAAGAAAGTTAATAGAGTTACCAATAAAGAGGGTAAATGACATGACTTTTATTTGGGTGAAAAAGGATAGAGGGAGATCTAGAAGAACCTTTAAGGAAATTATTATAAAGGATTTCATGGTAAATAATATCTCAGTGTATTTGGTTATTCACTAAGCTTAATGACGCTACATAATCCATGTGACTGACCTCAATTAATAAGATAAAACTTTGTTGTTTGTTTATATTAAAAAATTAGTTTTGTACTTTTGCTACTAAATAGAAATAGAAGCTTAAGGAACTCTGTCTGATGTTTCCCTAGACTGGAGAGCTTTATACCATTAGGCCTCCCTCCTTTTTTACTAGATTTGTTGAATTTGTTATTTGTATCAGGGATTGAGAATCACACTTTATATTTTTCTTTCTTTGTTACTATTTTTAACGATACAAATTGTTTTTTGTCAGATCATTATGATGTTAAAATGCCTTGCCACCTGATACTTTCAAAACTAGCTGATAAGTGTCCTTCTGCAGTCTTGGCAGGTCTGTTTTACCTCTGTTAAATTATTAAGGTTTTGCTATATGGCATTTCTCTTTTCTAACTTGGATTTCACCTTTCAGTATTAGATTCATTGGTTGATCCTCTCCAGAAGACTATTAATTTTAAGCCAAAGCAAGATGCTGTCAAGCAAGAAGTAGATCGTAATGAAGACATGATTCGAAGTGCACTCCGAGCTATTGCATCCCTGAACCGCATAAGGTTAGTATTTTGACATGTGTGGCCTAGTTTATTTGGATTTTTCTGTTCATACAAAGGAGAACTTGGGCCATACACAATCCTAGAAAACCTCTTGGGAATAGGAGCAGCATTTTTTAAATGAGAAAAGATGAAGTGTGGGTCTGCTTATTGAAACAATATTTTTCCTCCTTTATGTTTCTCTTTGCATTTCTGTCTATGCCCATATCTGAGAGGCGTTTGTGTTTTTTCACTTTGGATTCTACAGTGGAGGAGATTGCAGCGTCAAGTTCAAGAGTCTTATGAATGAAATATCAAAATCACAAACTCTCTGGGATAAATATTATTCAATCCGCAATGAATGATTCACATACAACTCTTAAATTTTTTTAACCCTTTTGTTATAGCTCAGGAAGGAGTGATAAAACATTACCTGCCAGTTGATGCAAGGGGTCTGGAAAACTAGTTCATTTCTTTGTAACATAGGAGAATTCGACTTGAGCAATCGGAATACTAGTGGTGATTTCTTGTATAGGATGAAAGATTTTGCCTTTTTCTGTATTAATCTTTTAGCTGCATTGTCTGATGAGCAGTTGCCGGCCCCTATCGTCCAGGGAAAAAAGTACAAAAAAGAACATATATTAAAGGAATCCATCAGATATTTTCATCTCATACTTTTATCTTGCATGTTAATTTACTTGGTAGTCTTCTGAAAACGCTCATTATATTTGAACCTTGAAATGTGTCTCCGTTTAACTGTCTTCAAATAATGTAAAATGTCAAAGCACTCAATAGCATGCATTTACCATATCTTTGCTGAACCGTCACGATTTGTTATGAGTTGAACATCTTTCTAATTCGCCAACTAGTACTCGAAGACAACGTTTGGTTTATTTTGATGTAGGAGTGACTATCGAATTAAGTAGCATTTCACCCAAACTTATGTTGTATATTATTCCTAAACAAAACTCGGTTTCTTTTTTCTTTCCTTAAAGAGAAGGGGAGTTTTGAAAAGTAAGTTCCTTTCAATAAAGAAAACTGAAAATAAATAAGTTTAATTCTAGAATATTTTTTCAACTGTTTCTCCGTTTTCTTTAACTCCAGATTGAAGAATATTATACACGTTGTATACTTTTATTTATCTTATCATCAATTATTATATTATATAATATAAATTAATTGTATCTATGATATATTTTAATTGGTTAACACTGATAAAGTATCAAAATTTTTAATGTTAAAAATAAACCATAAAAACTAACTTTTTATTATAAATTATAAAATTTAATGTTCTGATAATTTTAAACATTATAGTTTCAATAAAATTTTATTATTGCCATTAGACATTTAAGGTGTATAAAATTGCTGAAAAGATTTAACGTAAAATTTTTAAAACTCATTTCACTTTTAAATACCTATATAAATTTGAGTATTATGATTCTAATTTTACTTTTCATGTTATAATTAATTTAGTATTTTAAATATTTATTTTATGATTTATTCATGATGGCAGTGAATTTTCCGATTTAAATTAAATATTTTAGTTTTTCAGTGTTCATTTCTTCGTGGTGAGGGAAGCTTTGCGTAGTAACGAAGGCATAATGGTACGCCTTATACGATGATCGTATATACATGAATAAAACAGAGTACTAGACATGTGCTGTACTTATTCATGGCGTGGAGAGTGATGTGGAATGAAGTCTCTGCTGCTGTGAGTCATGATTACAATTGTTAGGAAGATGAAGAGGAGTGTTTGGTCAGATAGACAGTAACGTGAAAAACACAACAAAAAATACCGAATTAACATAACAAAATAAAATATTTGAAGCACGTTTAAAATTTAAACTACAATAAAATAGAAACCAAATCGAAATAAGTGTAAATTTTGAAAACCAAATTTCTAATTGTAAAAAATATAAGATGGTGCATCCACCGAGAGAATCAATTTACAAGTGGAAGATATATAACGTTCTGAACAAAACTTAAATACAATATTGTCAGTATAATAAATATTATTCTCCAATTAAAATCGACATTTCATCTTAAAAACTAATTTAATTTCAATAATTGAAGTTGACAATTATTATCAAGACAATGTCAGTTTAGATTGAAGAGCATAAAAATACAGTATATTTTGTTACATATCTATCTATCTAAAGCTAAGACCAGTAAATTGATGTTAGAATCATCAATGTCAGAAGAAAAATGGGCCACCTAGACAACAAAGTTAATAACATCATAATAAAAAGACAACCAAATAGAATCATGATATAATATATATATATTAGGAACTAAAACTAAAATCTAGAACAGTCCCAACACATTTCAACAGATAAAATCGTTTTGCTTGGCATTAATGAACCTCTACAGTGAATGGTTGTTTGAGCATGATACATACAAGAAAGGCCAACAGGTACGTAACCTAATCATCATTCTCAACTGTACCGTCTTTGAGATGAAAATGTTTTTCTCTCTTCTGGAACTCTGTCAAACCTTTCCCACTTCCAGTCACGCCAACCTTTCCGTAAGGATCATCGGGAGATTTAAAAATACTCTCTCGCTTTCTTCCAGAGAAGAAACCGATCTGTAAGCAAAGCCAAAGTATTGCATAAATTAGAAAACAGACAAGAACACAAATACTTACACGACCAGCAAATCTTAGAGATCTGTCTTTCTACTTTGTCATTATTTAAAAATGATGGCTTTACCAGGGGCATTGTTATTTTTCTTTCTCATTCATAACCCAACCAATTCAAGATATACCTAGACTTCATTTAAAATAGTTCTCCAAGAAATTTCAATGAAAAATTATTTAAATGTTACTATTTTAAATATATGTATACAAAAACCGAACCTGCCCCACACCACCACCTAATTTTATTTCCCATGCACTAGTTGCATGAAAATGTACCCAAAAAAAAATAAAAATCGCAACTCCTACATCAAGCCTACCTACCATTAGTCAGAGGTAGAAGAGAACCTAAAATCAGTTCTGAAAACTTCTTAAAACAATGAGAATAAAAAGTTGCAAATTTGAGAAATATACCTTCTTCGCCTTTCCTTTGGTTGACTGAAACTGCTGCCAAGCATTTTGCCTCTTATTTTGGGTGACTTCAAGTTGCTCCATCCGCATCTTTGACTTGAAGGCATGTATTTTCTTACGTTTGGAAGATTTCTGTAATTATTAAGTTGGAAAACATGTCAGTGATTGCATCCTCACTAACTGGAAGATTAACTTGGATAAAGCAAGAATAATTTCAGAAGCCATTAAGAAATACATAATGACTAACCCAATAATATCTAGAGTATTAGACAGCAAAAACAGCAAATTCAAGCATCTCATTGATATTGGCAGGAGACAACGAAAATTTACTGAAACAACTCACCACATCCTCAGGGTCATCAGGCTCTATACGAAGCTTTGCAGGTAGACTCCGAGACTGAAAATCAATAGATGCAGCTTGCGCAATTTTACGTTTGATAGCCTGTTTTGTAGCTTCAGCAACTCGCTCAGCTTCTAACAAAGCATCAACAGTACCTTCTTCAATTGGCCTTATATTGGCAGGATCAACCTGCAATAAGCAACCATCAATACATGACTTTTACCTTGGGATATAATAAACTTCAAAATTGTTCGAAAATTTGTACATAATAAAAAATAATACTTTAAATTGTAATTGATGAGTAGTGACTAATAATATGGCCTATATGCACAACCAACATATTTAATGTCCAAAGACAAATCTGAGTGCCAAGTTTGCAAAACCATTTTGAGCTTTAGGCATACCAACAGAAGACTAGGAATAGGGATCAAGTATGCATAGTTTTACAAGCCTTACCTCTTCTTTATTACCCCAATTGTCATAACATACATAATAACCATTTGGTGTATAAGCCTCAATTGTTGCATCATACCTGGACATTCATAATACAACAAGTTAAACACAATGAAAACATTGGTAAATGATATGGAAAATAAAATAGACCGATAAACAACCATACCACTCCCCATCTTCACTCCAAACTGCCTGAACTCTGGTGCCAACAGGAATTTTCTCTTCATGATCAGAGCTGCTATCCAGCTGCCAAAAGTGAAATAACAAAAGAACTCACTAATGGTCATCTGAAAAGTATAACTTTTAAATCAGCAGAGATTATTTCAATTGTTTCCTTCACATTCTCTGCCAGTTTGTAAGTTCATCAATTATGAAAGGGAAACAAGTCAATTATGAACAAGCAGTTCTATGATAGCAAAAGTCAATGCAATGTTAACTGAATAAGCAATTATTCTCACCTGCAGAATTCTATTATATATATTATATACACAGCCAAAAGCATCAAAACACATGGCATGTACTAATTGCATATTTTGAAAAATGCTTCACTTATTATTATAAGTTTACAACAATGCACAAGTAGCCCAACATATAAGAGGCAGGCACAATCCATGAACAACCATAATTCCGTGCTTTTTAGACTTTGTTTGGAGGGGAGGAAAGGAAGGGATTTGAAGAGGAAAGGAGGGGAGGAGAAGGGAGGGAGAAGGAGGGTTAAACCCCTCTCTTGTTTAGATGCTTAATATTGAAAGGGGAGGGTGTCAGGAGTTTAATCATGTAATTGATATTATTATCTTTTATATCTTTTATTCATATTTTTTTATTTTTTACAAAAAATTAAATATTTTTCTTTCTCTAAAAATTTAAATTTTTATTTATTTTTTATAAATTTAAAAAAATTCTCACTTTAAAAACTCACATTGAAAAAAAAATTAAAATCATAATCCTGAAAGAGCACAAGAGAAAACCTCTAGATTGAAGGAACTCAAAAAACCAACATTAAGAGGGTTTTGGGGGGTTTAGAAGCCCCCTAACCATTCCCCTCCTAATTAATTAACTTCCAAACAAAGGTTAAACCCAACTCCTTCCTTCCCCTTCCTTCCCTTCTTAAACATGAAATTCAAACATACCATTAATATATTTCTCTCAGAAGTGAAAGACAGCAGGAAAAAAAAGAGGGAGGGGATAAGAAGTGATCTACGACTCAGTGCAAATGAGAACATTTCCTTGGTTTGAATCAATTTTTATCAAGCTATATATATACTAAAGAGACTTCCTAAAGGAAACCATGAGCAAAAGACCAAAATGAGAACATGAAAACTCTTACAGTCTTGTACCATAACAACTCTAGGGACAGAGCCTTCAACAGTTCAACATCCAATCATTCCACAACAATTGAGACATCAGAGGGCCAAACAAACACACCGCAGCAAAACTTGGACCTCCTTACTCTTACCAAAACCCTCAACTTTTTCTATATTGTACAACACTATTCCAAGTACCAATCAAAAACCCAAGGATCATGAAACTGATACATGATCACAATTAATAAAAACACTGCACCACCCAAGAAAAACAAAAAGCCCCATCAATGGAACAAATATTTGAAATGAGCCATTGCCAATATACTCCCAATTCAGAAAGGGGCTGTTAAGTATAGATGTGAGAAGAAAAGTGAGGTTAAAGGTAGATATCATATAAAAAACTAAACAAATTATCAATCATATTCCCTATCATGATTTCCAATTTCACTGACAGTAATGTGACAGACTTGCAGGAATTTTACGCACCATGTGAAAATAAATTCCAAAGTCAAATGAGAATATTGAACATATACCAGTTTGTTCTCCTTATGCTTTGACAAACTTAGAGATGCACCAACATTTGAAGCAGCAGTTGAACCAGAGATTTCATTTTGCTTTGCGGTTGCGAGGAGTTCTTCCGTCAAAGCAATCACCTGTGTCACACAATTTTAGGCCACATTCCAGTTCAGTAAAACAAGTATTTTTCAGAAATTTTTACATCATAAACCAAATTAATGTCAAAATTCTAACTTAGAATCTCAGTGTGAACATCTCATATCAGGTGAGAGGGAGAAAGCATGCTGGACATCACGACACAGAGCACACCTGCACAGAACCAAGATAGAAGTGATGCGCATTTTGACGAGGTTCTCTGTTTCTTTTTTAGTTACATGTCTAACATTCATTATGTTTTTCTCATGCTCCTCAGGTTCATCAATTTGAATTATATTACAAACTGCCTTACCGCAGTTTCAAATAAAATACTGCCCTCACCTTTTTCAACCAACAAATTTCAATAATTGAGTTTCATTACTAATTATAAAATGAGGTGCATAGGAATCCCAGACATGCATGCATACATCGATCCTCCCTCTGATGTCTTTATGCTAGGTAAGAAGGTAGGGATCTGCTTTCTTGAGAAAGAATCAATCAATTATCACAACCAATTCACACTTCTTTCAATAGAAAAATGAGGCAGTGTATTCAGAGGAATGATATGGCACAAGCAGGGCACGGAAAGAAAAGAGAGAGAGAGAGAAATGATATTTCCACAACACTGTGAACTTAAATTTGAAAAGGAGAAAATGAAACATACCTCGCAGAGCTCCCTTTCCATGTCAACATATTCAGAATTCGAAGGTTCATCGCTTAAAAGTTGTCTAACCTGACGCAGAGATGAGGGAAAAGGATTGAAGTAAAAAAATGAAGGTGTAGGGTTGATGGATGGTAGTGAATAGTTAAGCTCACCTGATGGAGTTGATCTTTGTAGAGGGACAGATTCGAGGCCAACTCTTCAATGTTTACTTCATCACCGCCTTGCATCTCTCAACGCCCGAACACCAAACCCTAATTTTCTCTCTCTCTTTCTCTTTCGATTTCAAGATAGACGAATGCAGAGGTATCAGAACTAGACGCGTTACGCTACCCTCCCGACATATCATAAGCCATATCATCTTGGGCTTTCCCTTCTATAAGCCCAATCCATTTCGGCCCCTCCTCCTCCCGCGTAACATTCCATTATTCTGCAATAATTATGCATATTTCACGCAATACTATAAATTTATGTAACACAACCATTTTGTGGAAATTATAAAAGCATCCTATCACCAAACACAAACCAGTTATTGTGGATTTATTCAAATTTAACTAATTTGAATTCCAGTAAATGCATTTACGTTAAATTTGATTAAAAAAAAAGTATCACCTATAATAACTTAGATAACTCTTCCACACTCTCACGCGAGAGCAACCCTCGTTTTAGCAATTTGCGTTTGGTTTTGAATTATTATTATATATCCATGCATTCACATACTATATTTTGGACCATCCAATGCAAGGGTTGGTTTTTCATCTTTTATAGAATATAAAATAACTGTTATATTTATGATTTACAACATGATTTTATATTATCTGTGATAAAAAGAATAAAAGAATTTTAGAGTTCGTATATATATATATATATATATATGGTATTAGTTTAATAATTTACATTTTCTTCGTGATTTATGTATAAAATACCAGGGAGAGAGACATTTTCGCTGTAGATTGCCACAATAAATCTACAGTAGAAAGGTATAGTGACAAGACAAAGATTTATATTATAATATAGATAAGATGGGATAATAGATTTGAAAAGTTTTATCTCTATTAATTTCTTGTTATTTAATAAAATATAATCTTCTGTTACTGACAATGTCTACTTCTCCTTCTTTCTTATTATTTAACAGTGATAATATTTTAATTTCTTATATAATTTAAAAGCATTGGAGATAGAAGGAGACCCATTTGCAAAAATGAGATGGTGGAGTAGAGAAAACAATCATAACTTGAAGACCAAAGTGGGCTCGGTGGCATGACCACAGCTATTTTTGTTGGTGGGGAAGTGGGAAATCTGTTAATCTTTTAGCCAACACTTTGATGTAACTATTGTCCTAGGAGATGCCAATTTGAAATGGTTCTGAGGGGGACCTGCCCTTAACAGTAAAACATGTTTGAGACATGTCTCAGTGGCATAACCGTACATGATTGTAAAAAGGAACAATAACAGCCTCAACAAATCCTCAAATACAATTTATTATTGTATATGTTTTTAGTCATTCCTTCTTTTTCTGTTAATGTCTGAGCTTGCATTAAAAATATATATTTTAAAATTTTATTCTTTTTACTCTATTTAGTTAACCTTTTTATTTATTAATCTTACTTATAAATCGAATATATTTTTATAAATTAATGAATAAGTAAGTTATGAGGAGATTTATGATTTAGTCTTGTTTATTTTTTAATTTAGTAATAATTAATTATTTATCTTATGATAAATATGTAAAATAATTGAGAATGCTATAAAAGGCAAGGATACAATATGAAAAAAGTAATAAATATTTTTTAAAATTTCTAGAGAAACAAGAAGAACAAAATATATAAAAAGAAAAAATGGTTTTAAGCATGGAACTTACCTTATGTGTCAATATGCACAGGCATTGCATCATATTAGTTCGGCGATTCATCTTGGTCCGAACTCTCTCTCTCGCACTCAAGTTCACATAGCTATGAATCTATTTGTTGGAATTTTATTTTATGAGATGTTTTGGAAAAAAGTATAAATTTTGTTTGTGATTATAAAAATAATTTATAACTTTATGATTCTTTTTATCTTATTTTAATAAATTTTCAGTAATATATATTAAAATAGTTTTTCACAAGTTTATTTACAATTAAGTACGTGACACAAGATTTGCATATTAAATAAATACTTAATTAAGATGACTATTTAAACTCATTATATATACACGTTTACGTAAGATTTTTCAATATTGCTTCAATTATTTAACAAGATTATAATTATTTTTCTCTTTATATACTCTATAAACAAATAAAATATAAGCTTCCGGCTACTGAATTTCAAGAGTAACACAGAACAAAAAATAAGGAAAGAAAGTAATGCATTAACCTTGTGAAATAAGATGGCCTTCCCTATATCACATTTTCATACAATTCTCTACAGTAAATGTGAGCCTCAATAGAGTATATATGCAGAATTTTCAATAGCTATACTTATATTACAAGAAGAGTAAAGATAAATATAGAAATAAGTTGCTATGGAATATTGTCTTCTGCTGAGTATGGACTGTTTTCCTTGGCATTGACGAGGGATAGGGAATTAGGAGGTTGAGAATAGCGTTTGGACCAAAAGAGATAGTTGAAGAAGTTGAGGAAGCTTAAGGCAGCCAATAACCAATAGAAAAGATCAAGCCTGTCTTGGTTGAGGTTGTTGTAGTGAAGCCAACCACCAGTAGAAGAAGTTGAAGTGATTTTATTCACCAAGGAAACCAAAACTGTGCTCAAATAAAAGCCAAATGAGTAGGAGCAATATGTGATGGCTGTCAAGAATGCTTGCATCCCTTTCAAGGACTGTTTGTAAAAGAACTCAAGGAGCCCAACAGCTGTAAACATCTCTGACAACCCAAAGATCAAATATTGTGGGGTAATCCAAAAAATTGACATAGTTTTGTTATGGTTCACAGCTGCATCCCTTCTCTTTTTCTCTAACAGAGCAGCTGAAACCATAGAAAAGGTAGCTAGGAAGAGCCCAAAACCTATTCGCCTCAAAGGCGAGATTCCAGACTCATGGCCAGTGAATTTTCTGGCAAATGGGACAAAGAAGGTGTCATATAGAGGGACTAGAACAATGAGCAAAATGTAAGGAATAGACTGAAGTGACGCAGGAGGGATATTAAAGGATTTAGTGAGATGGGTGTCCATGACCATCCCTTGTTGGACTGAGAATGTCTGCAGCTGTGCTAAGATTGTGTTGAATACGATGGTGCAAGAAAATATGGGAATCACCGATAGCAATATCTTCACTTGCTCAACTTGCCCAACACTGCATAATCTCCATGGGCTTTCCTTTGCGTCAGCACCCTCCTGGACTCTTATACAAGCCTTGTCCAAGAACCTGCATATATATATATTGCCACATATTGAATCTACATTCATATAATAACATGGTTGATTGAATCTTAATTTGATTGTCGACATAGAGTTGAATCTGAATAACTGAAACTAGGGAGCACATACACAACATGAACACGGCGACACAACACATTTAAAAAGAAAAGGATACGACATGGTTAACATATGCTACATCAAAAATAAAATAACAATAATATACTAAAATTATTCAAGAAGATAGTATATTATCTTGTCTCGATTATTTACTATAACTATAACTATTACTAACTAGCAGGACACGTATTGGAATGTGCCGCTGGCGTATTTGTGTTAGAGACGTATCCAACACCAACACGCCAGCTTTCTAACCGTGTCCGTGCTTCCTAGCTTTGAAATTGAGATATAAAGAAAAGAACCTTTATCGGTTACAAGTGAATTGAACGAATCATGAAGTTTATAAAATTGTTTCTTTCTCACGTTTAATTAATGATCTAGGTGTTTGGGAAAATGAAATTCAGCCCACAATGGAAAATAAAGAAAAGAGAACCAACAAAACCAAAAAATATGAAAGTACCTGAACTTATCAGTATGAAGAAGACCATCATTGTTTTGGCTTCCATAAAGAATTTGTGGGTCAGATGGAGAAACCTGCTTTCTTTTCAATATTGCAGCCACAATAACCTAATATGAGATCAAGTTAACTTGATTTTAGTTTAAGAGTCGTACGTACGAGCCAGCATTATCCATAGACACCGTAAAAGTTAACACTCCACCGCACATGCACAACTCAGCAAGCACAAACTATCTACTATATTATTCGACAACCCAAGAATAAACAAGTAACAACCGTACATGTAATAAAGATTTCAGAAAATCAAAATAGCCAATTTTGCCCCATGTAAATTACATGATCCTACTTAATGGTTAGGGTTGTACTGTATTTTTTTAATTAGTTGCTACATTAATTTTTCTAGATATCTAGGTGTTCCCCTTAATAAGAATGCAGTAATCAAGTCTGACCATTGAATTAGTATTCTCGGGTGTTTACCTTTATCTATATCTTACAGACACACAAATGAATATTATATTATTTCTTGAGAGTGGATTTAGCAATAGGTATGGTTTAAGATTGGTACCTGAGCAATAGGGATTAAAATACTGCCTTGTGGGGGCTTGTTCCTGTAATATAGAGTGCCACATATCAAGCTTATCAATCCCATTGCCATTGCAGCCGCGGATACCCCGAAGCCCACGTCCATTCCAGAATGAGTTTGAACCCAAACAAGAATCGTTAGGCCAACAAGTTCTCCGAAAGAGAATGCAAAATATGCTGCGTTGAAGTAAGTGGAGAGCTTCTTTAACTGCTTGGGGTTGTCTTGATTGAATTGGTCTCCTCCATAAGCAACCATGTTAGGCTTGACACAGCCACTCCCTAATGCCACCAAGTATAGTGCCACAAAGAATATCATGGCCTTGAAGCCCTTTGCTTCTATGCAGTGTTCTCCATCGGTTACCACATTGCATGGCGGTGGCTTCAACTGAGGAACATGAGCTTGGACAGACAGCAATATGAAACCCTGTGTGTGAGAACCAGAGATCAACGTATAATTAGAGCCAAATATATACAAGTATGAGATATCGTATTCGTGTGACAAGATTATAAACAATTTATATAAGACTCCTTTTTCTTTGTTTATCTTTCTCTGTCCCATCACTTATTTTATGCCGCATTTTTCTCTCTTATTTGTATGTATTGTATATAATTTTGTAATATAAATATAATATCTCTATAATTATGTCAAAAAGATATACATGTTTGTATATATGCGCGCACACGCGCGTGTTACGGCACTCTCGGTGCACAACAGAACTTTATATAATTGATGATCTCGTCAATAGTTCAAAACTATTTTTTTAAAAAAAATAGTAATTAATAATAATAAGAATTAGAAAATGAGCAATTGACTGAAGATTCCGTATTGACTTATAATTAACGCTGAAAATATGATTTGAAAAGCAATAAACGGCATCTATAATTGTATATCCAGCTGTGTTGGTGGGCTGGGAAGATACATAGTACAGACAGAAAAAGATGTAAATGGAAAAGCAAGTGTGTGTGTGTGTGTGTGTGAGAGAGAGAGAGAGAGAGAGAGGAGGGGTAGCTTACAGAAAGTTCGACAAAGCCAAAGATGAGCAAAGTCCAGAAGCTGCCAAGGTAAGAGTCTGAAAGATAGCCACCAAGGAGGGCCAAGATAAAGATAGTCCCAACAAAGTTGGTGACAACGTTGGCAGACTTGGACAAAGAGAAGTGCATCTCATTGGTGACATAAGTTATGAGATTGTTGCCTACTGCGGCTATTGCCATTATCTCAAATGCTTGCAATCCTTTGATTAAATTAATGAGAGAGATGAGAATTGAGAACAGAGAATAATGAATTGAAATGTATAAATGGAAGATGGGAAAAGGGAAAGAAGGGAGAGAGATACCAAGAACAAAAGCAGCAGGAATCATTCCACCATGCTTTGAAGGGTTGGAGGGTCTGCCTCTCCAATCCAGAGTTAGAGTGGATGACTCTTCTTCACTCTCACTCTTGCGAGGAACCTCTGACTCCATTCTTTCTTTAATGCTTTTGCTGAAATTGAGGCCTGAGTTTGTGTGTGTGTGTCACTGAGTCTTGTAACTCTCAAGCTGTTTTATAGTGCCACTGCCAAGTGAAATTAATATATATTATTCATTCTGACCCCAAAAGCAAGAGTTACACTTACACTTACACTTACACGCGCTCCCTCTCTCTCTCTCTCTCTCCCTACTCATTATTCACACCACAACACAAGGATTGTCGTTGGTCAACAGTCAACCTGCCCAACTCCTATCACAACACCATTCTCCTCTCTGTCTACTGCTTCGCCTGACCCCATCTCGCCCCACAATTCCATTTTCTTAATATTATTTGGTAAAAAAATTATATATATATTATTCAGCTTTAAGATTTTTTAATAAATATTTTAAATAAAACTAAAATATGATGATATTTTTAACAATTAATTTTTTTGTATATCAAATATTTCCTTAAATAAACATAAATCCAATTAACTACATTACATCCCTGTGACATTAATATTTTTTTTATCATTTAATTAGTGTATGTTCAAAGATAGATTTATATTTTCTTAAATGTTAATTTGGATAAACAATCGACTCAAGAGTAAAGTACTTTGGATTTGATTTATCTGAAATAAATGTTTAAATTTAGATTAACAGTGAATATTATCATTTTACACGTTTTATTTGTCTATAGAGTTAAATGGGGTTAGCTTCGTTGAGAGTGAGTGCGTCAATGATGGACAGTTTCCAGAATAGAAGAAGAATGATGCCGTCATCAATTTTTTACCAAATTATCGGCAACCCGTGAGTTTTCGCTATAACTAACGTGCGTGTACTATTATATTAATAGTAGACTCATTTGTCACAATTAAGTTGGATTTAAATTAAATGATAAAAATATTTTTTAAAATTATAAATTTTAAAAAACATTTTTATTTGCTAATAATAAATATTTTATCATACCGTATATAGTTAAATTAAATATATCACTTTTTACAATTAAAAAATTATTTACGTGTTAAATAAAAAAACTAAAAGATGTGTTGTGGGATTATTTTGAAATTTTATAAATTCAACAAATTATATATTAATTATTAATAAAAAATTATTATATTAAAAATGAATAAATCAGTAGAAAGATGTTTATAATTCTAAAAATAAATTATTAAATATTCAAATAAGGATTCAATTAAAAACAAATGTTTAGTAAAAAAAACACATAACATGATGACAAAGAAAATATTCTCCTAAAATCATTCTTCTTTTGAAATAGAGATCCACATTCATCAAATGTTCAAGATTTTATTCTTTAGTATTTATTTAAAATAATTTAATAAATATATGCACAATTTTTTAATAATTAAATTTTGTATAATTTATTTATTTAATATTACTTTTAAATTTTGAAATTAAAACTTTCAACATTAAAGATATTATTTTTTATTATTTTATCATCCTTCTTTATTATTATTGCTTGTTATTTATTTTTATTTTCATTGTTATATATTTTTATTTTAAAATTATTACTGTTTGTGAGTTTTTTGTTGAATAAATAAATAAATTTTTATAAATTTAAAATATATTTTTTAATTTATTTTGTGAGACGTTTGTATTAGAAATAGGCATGATATAATATGGCTAGTTCATTGTTTTAAAATGCATTAAACATAAAATAAGATAATAATGTATTATACTTATATCTTACATATTTTTTACTTGTATCTTATATCTCATTCTACTATGTTTGTCAAATAAACTCTTGATATTTTTACACAAAGATTTAGAAAAGAAATAAACATATTGATTAGTAAAATATTTTTATTAAAATATATTTTGTTTCATTTTTATTTTCTAAATAGTTAAATCATACATTACTAAAAAAATATTATATTCATTATTTATTTATAATTTAATTAAAATATATCATAATATTTTATTGAAATATTAAAATGTTACACTATATGAAAAAAATATTTTTTACTAAAATAATCTTAATTTGAAACGGTAGGAATAAGAAGGTAGGTTTTTGCACTTAGCTATTTCATCTAATTTTATTTATTAGACCCTTTAAATAAATTATAAATGTTTAAAAAATCAGTAAAATATATGGTGTATTAAGTTTTTTAAAAAATAATTTTAATATTTTTAGATTATTTTATTTAAATTTAAACTTTATTATCGTATTAAATTCTTAGAAGTTGGAAAATTTTAATTACGAGAACCAAATGTTATACAAAATGAAATAATAAAAATTTAATTATAATATATAATTATTATTTACATTGTCATCCTTGCATTGTTATTTTAGCATTAAAAATTAAAACCATACCCACTGTATTAAAAATAATTAATGGTGTAAAACTGTTTATATTGGTAATGAAAGCAAATTAAACCCCAAATAATAAGTTTTTGTAAAATTTTATTAAATGTCTTATATTAAAGATCGTAATAAAATTTTGAAAGAATTTTTTATAAAATGAGTGAAAAGAGCATTACTCCCAAATATATAAATGAAAAGTATTTATATCATGTATGTATGTTAGTCTCTAATTATTATTAAAAAATAAGTTTAACTCACTTTTAAGATTAAATTCAATGAACAAAATAATAATTCAATTTTTGTAAATAATATTTTACCATATTTTTAACTAATATAAAACATTTTAATATATATTTTCACATTTAAAATTGAACATTTAGTGTATAATAGTTATAAAATTATATATGTATAGGTGATCCAACGTTGAAATTGTCCCAATATTAGTATTGAATTATTTGACACTATATTAAAAAATTAATTTTAACTAACTTTTAAAAATTAACAAAATAAATAAAAATTGTCAAAAATTTATAAGAAATTTTTTTTATATATTTATGAGTAATATGAGATTTATTAGGGCTTTGTTTGATTTAGTTTTGATTTTTAATTTTTAAAAATTATTTTTTAAAATAATTTTATAAAATAATATTTAGAAAAAATAAGAAAAATTATTTGATAATATAGTTTTTAAAACTGTTTTTAGTTAAATTTTTATTACTTTTAGAAAGAGAAACAAAAGCACTTAAATAATTAAAAAAAAAAAATTAAAGCTTACATTAACAAACAAGTTTTTTTATTTTTTTTAAAATAAAGAATATATTTAAAAAGAAAAAAAAGAAACAAGCCCTTATTTTTTTGATTAAATTCTGAAATTCTCCACATATTGTTGACCTATCCTCTAACCCCATCCATACCACATTGATTTCCATTCTGTTGCCATACTTTTATAGTGCGAATCATTATACTTTTCTTAGCAACACTCATTTCGGATGGCAATTTTCCAACTATATCTTCCACGAAGTTAAGCACAAAGCCACTCTTAAAAGCAAAATAATTTCTATATTCTAATTAGGTAACCATTTTTCTAATCTTGTAAAGGATATGCCGACCATTAACATTGAGAAGAAGAAAAAAATGAGGTAGGAATTAGGGATCCAAATTCTCTGTAGTATTGGCGAAAACTGTAGGGAGCACAGTGTGTTTTTGCTTAAGCGAAATTTAACAAAACGTGATTTTGGCTTAAGCAAAAGAATTTAGCTTAAGCAAATTTAGTTAAAAAGTAAATTTTTGCTTAAGCTAAAAAATTCACTTCAGCCAAAATTGTAAAAAAATTTAAAACTTCATCATCTTCCTCTTTAAACTGTAGAAAATTTAAGAAACATTTGTTTCTCACCAATAACTATCTAGGTACTAAAGAATCTTACATATTTTATTCTACCAATTATTTCAAATGTATTGTTTAGTGTGCTAAATATTAGTGAGATAGAACCATTTAAAATCAAGTTAAATTGTTGATAATTGTAATAAGAATTATAAGAAGGATAATTTTTATAAATTGGTTGAGAAATAGTTACATTATTACATATTTTAAAACACTTAAATTTTTGTATTATGACTATAAAGTGTGACCATATGATCTTGTACAAATGTTTTTAAATGTATTGTCTAGTGTGCTATTTGTGCTAAACATTAGTGAGGTAAAACTATTTAGAATCAAGTTAAATTATTTAAATAATAATAAGAAGTATAAGAATGATAACTTTGAGAAATTGGTTGAGAAATAGTTGTGATATTACATATTTTGAAACACTTAAGTTTTTATATTATGATCATAAAGTGTAACCATATGATCTTGCATAAATATTTTTAAATGTATTGTCTAGTGTGCTACTTGTGCTAAATATCAGTGAATTAGAACAATTTAGAATCAAGTTAAATTATTGAGAATAATGATAAGGATTATAGGAATGATAACTTTGAGAAATAGTTATGATATTACATGTTTTGAAACACTTAAGTTTTTGTTGTATAATCGTAAAATGTGACCACATGATTTTACATGAATGTTTTTCAACTTTTATGTAGTTTAAAAAGGAAGAAGATAAAATTTTAAATTTTTTTGCAATTTTAGCTTAAGCGAATTTTTTAGCTTAAACAAAAATTTACTTTTTAACTAAATTCGCTAAAGCTAAATTTTTTGACTTAAGCCAAAATCGCGTTTTGTTAAATTTTACTTAAACAAAAATGTACTGCGCCTCCTACAGTTTCTGCCAACACTGCAGAGGATCCGGATCCAAAAATTAAATGTTTTGGCTGAATATCACTGTCACGCTAGAGAATAATTTCATTTATATTAATTTGAACATAACAAATTGATACCATATGTAATTTATATTTAGTTATTTGTATACACGTTAAAATTTTAAATAAAATAAAATAAATTTTTATTATCTATTTAATTTCCACTGAACATTCTCCCTAGGGGAAAGAATGAGTTGAAAATGAAGTTTTTGGTAGCATTACAATAAACTTCCACATGCGCTTATTGCAAAGTAGTTTGGAGTGTTATAACAAAGGACAAAAAGACCAATTGAAAAAGGTTGTCGCTGCTAATCCATTTAAGAACAAAATGATGCTCACATTTTCGAATTCATTGGCCAATCTATTTCCTTTTAAATATTAGGTCTAT